AGAGTTATTTTTGGCGGGCTTGCTTGTGGAGGACCATCCCACTCGGCTCAGCGGGCAGAACTCAGAAAAATAAGGCAGGGCTCAGACAAAGAAGTTGCCACATTGGACCGACCCTCCAAACATCCCAGGTAGTGAACCGAGCCTATCACCTTTACGGACGCCGACTGCACAGGCATTCGTTACCCCCATGACGGCCCCCTCGTCATTTCGGCCCTCCTCTCCAACTACAAGGTCAGACGGGTCCTCGTAGACAACAGCAGCTCTTCAGACATCATCTTCCTCAACTGCTTCCGGCAGCTCAAGATCGGGGAAGAAAGTCTATCTTCTCTTTAAACCCCTTTGGTCGATTTCACTGGTGACCGGGTGACCTCCATCGGCTCTATCGATCTCCCCATCACAATCGGCGAGTACCCACGGCAGACCACCAAGTTGCTTACCTTCCTTGTTGTCGACTGCCCCTCTGCCTACAACATCATCCTTGGCCGCACTGCCCTAAATGCTTTCCAAGCTATCATATCAACTTACCACCTTACCATCAAGTTCCCCACCGATCTGGGGGTCGGGACAGTGAGGGGAGAGCAGACCGTGGCCAGAGAATGTTATGTTGCCTCACTCAAAGAAGTCAAGCTGAAGGAGGCTATGATCATTGAGGGACTCGATGTCAGAGACGAAGACGAGCTGGTTAGGGGGGAACCAGTGGAAGAACTTATTGAGGTGCCCATCGATCCCACCAACCCAGCAAAAACTGCCAAGATCGGCAGCCAACCACTGTGGCCTCCACCCCTTGATTGACGACGGCAACCCCGCCAGCAGACCCATTCCCGGCGCCGCCTGCAGAGTGACCCAAGTTTCTTGCTGCCCCGAGGCCTTGTAGCATGCAAAAAACTCATCCACCGTCATTTCCACCCCCCGTTCGCCTTCAGCTACGCGCTTGCATAGGCCAACAAGATCTTCCACGCATTGGGCATCAGTTGGCCTGGAGCCACCTCCAACTGGTCCAGCACGTCCACTACTATCCGGGGGAGTCGAAACCTCAAACCCCCCTTTAGCGTCTCCTCGTACAAGGCGAATTCCCCCGGTCGAGCATCGGATGCCCTCTTATTCGGTGTCACAGCTCTATTTCTGCGGGAATCTGGTATTTCTCCCGCATACTCTCCAACTCCTTCGCAGTAATGGTCGACTTGTCGGCCTTCGTATGCTAGTGATCTGGCTCAACCTCGCTGATTGGCTTCGGAACCGCTATCATTGTGGACGAACGAGGTCGCCCCGCCGGCTCCCCCCTACTCCCCACTTGCCTCTCCATCCTGTATTGCTCCGCCAAATCTACCGCATCATCGTCACCCAATGGATCAACCCTTGCTTCCTCTTGGACCATCTCTCTCGTGTGTCTGTGAATAACTTCAGACGTTGGTGTGAGATAATTCACAAAGTGTTGCAGTGGTGTATCGCTAGCAACGAAGGAGTTTACAGTTAGAATGTTTTGATTTTTTGCAAAAAGGTAGGTAAAGAGAATAATACCAAAGGCCCAAGGCTTGCCCGTATTCCCAAGGTCACAATTAAATTTCGCCAGTTTGAAAATTTTCAAAAATCTGCCAAAATTGTCTTTTCAACACCCTATGATGACCTATCGTTTCACTTATTACCCAATGCCTAACCTCCCCCACTACGAGATTCTGCCACGTGTACGACCACGATCCACTGCCCCTTTTCCCTTCCCTATCTATTCCACTTCACTTCAACACGTACCCCGCCATCTTTCGAGCCCCACGCCTTACCGCCCACCCAACCTTCGCGGTCGGCCCTCCTCATGGTTGGTCCCTCCACTCGACCACCCTTCGCGGTCGGCCCTCCTCATGGTCGGTCCCTCCACTCGGCCACCCTTCGCGATCGGCCCTCCTCATGGTCGGTCCCTCCACTCGGCCACCCTTCGCGGTTAGCCATCCTCATGGTCAATCCCTCTACCCAGCCACCCTTTGCAGTCGGCCCTCCTCATGGTCAGTCCCTCCACTCGGCCACCCTTCGCACTCGACCCTCCTCATGGTCGGTCCCTCCACTCGGCTACCCTTCGCTGTTGGCCCTCCTCGTGGTCGGTTCCTCCACTCGGCCACCCTTCGTGGTCGGCCACTCCTCTCGGTCGGCCTTCACCCTGCCGATCTCTCACAGCCCTCATTTTCTTCATTATTCCCTTCGTTGGACTAAAGCTGCACTTGGAAATAGGGGACTACTGACGTAGGTAAGCCCATAAAGACTATAGCCCAGCATTTAGGGCCCAATACATACCTCAAATGCTAAAGCCCAGCACTGCTGAAGCCCCATGAAGCAATAAGAACCAATGACATCAAGACACATGGAAAGAGAGGGGCAAGCCACCTCGGCAGACAAAGATTTGCAAAGTTATTGCCACGACACATCGCCATTAATGAGGCCCCTTACAGCATTTATTGCGATAACCTCTCTCCGTTGAGACAAAACGCCTTCACCCTGAGCAAGGTAAACTAGAGCATAGACTTTTGGCCAAGGTGACAGGTCGGATGGGACAACGTAATGATTATCAAAGGATATAATTAGACGTCGAAGACAAGAAGAAGGTTAAGCTTTTCTATCTCTAATTTATCTACACATTCCACTTCTCTCTCTAACTTGCTCGTCGGAGGGTTCGCTGGGGAACTCCCCGTTCCCCGTTGAACTCTTGTGCAGGTTTTCTGGTGGGCTTGGTCATTCGGACATAGGCTTGAGGAGCGTGGATCAGTCCTACCCATTCCACTTGGAACGAACTGCATCATCAGTTTGCATATAGGTTTCTTCTTGTTGTTTCCAGAGAACCCAGTTTCCATGTCTGCAATAGAGGCAAGACCATCATCTTCTTCAATGGTGGTGTGTTATGTTCATCTTCTTCAATGGAAACAAGGCCTTCTTATGGCTATAGAGTCCATCATTATGTTTTAACTGATATGGGTTTTGTTTTGTGTTCTAACTGATGTGGGTTTTGCTTAGAGAGAGAGATGATAACGGTGGTGTTCTACAATTTTTTTTTTTTTTTGGAAATTTTTCCCCAAAACGACGTTGTTTTGGGGCACTGCAATTATTTCTCCTCTCTTTCTTTGCCTTCCTTCTTCTCCATTCTTTCTTCTTCTCTCTCTCTCTCCGTTTGTTTTCTTTTTCTTTTTTTTTTATTCCCTACAGTGCCCCAAAACGACGTCATTTTGGAGGTAAATTTTCACGAAAAAAAAACAAAACAGAACAGAACCTAGAAATGGGGGAGAAGAAAGAAAGCAGTGGGGTGGGTTTGATCTCGAGAGCCCCCTTCTCTCTCTCTCTCTCTCTCTCTCTCTCTCTCTCGTGATCTTGATCTTGCCACCAATGATGAGCCACCATCTCGATCTGAAGAAGAAGAAGAAGAAAAAAATAAAGGACGTGGGGTAGGTTTGACATGGCGGTGCTGTAACGGTCGAGAGAGAGAGACTTGAGAGAGAGAATTCAAGGTTTTGATTTTTTGGTGATGAACTTTGATTTTTCGTCACATTTTTTAGCCTATGATTTGAACTCTCTCTCTCTCTATATTAAAAGTTTCACTTTCTCTCTCTACAAATACTCACTTGGATCTTCTTTGAATTACTCAGCAACCTCCATACAATGGACTTGAGCTCTGAAGTACACCAAAGACCCACAAAATTATTTTAAATTATTTTCTTTTAGTCAATCTTAATTTGTCACTTTTCCGTTGTCTTAAAGCTATCGACTTTCTAATGCTAAATCTTTTTGGATTCGATTTTGGGTTGAATCGAATCAAATCGGTTTAATTCTAGATTCGCTATTTCTGAATTAGGTGAATCAGGCTTGATTTGTTCTTGTTGGTGGTTGTGATTTCTGTAGGTGTATGTTTTTCAAAGGTTTTGACTGGTTTCACTCTGTTTTGTACTTGAATTGATGTGAATATGATGGGTTTTGAGTTTGATATCTGGGTTTTGATTGTTTAGATATGGGTTTTCTATATGTTTATCTATTCTTTTGGTTTGTTATGTTGATGGAAGCAATCAGAGATAAGAGATGTAGACTTGTTTTTTTCATAGCATCTACTTATATAGTAGTGAATTGAGCACAATTCTACTAATTATTTGCTTGAGAGAGAGAGAGAGAGAGAGGAGGAAAGGAAGGTGGGTTGTGGCGGCGATGGCGGCGACGGTGGGGAAGTGGTAGCGTCGTAGGTGAAGGCGGCCGAAGGTCGCTAGTTATAGGGGTCACGGTCATGTGGGTTCACGATGGTGGGTTACCCATCGCTGCTATCTTTCTTCTTTCCCCTTTTTAGGTTTTTTTTTTTTTTTTCCCTTGAAAATTTGCCCCAAAACGACGTCGTTTTGAGACACTGCAGGGAAGGGTTGTAGATAAAGGCGACCGAGGATCCGGACTCTTTATGAATATGAGCTATCCTTGTGAACTTAAACAATAATCACAAGGATCTATGACCCTACGAATCTATAAAATAGAACTATGGACTGAACTCCCTATATATATCATCATCAAACACGGCAAAGAATTTCACTCTGAGTAATGGGAACCAATGATAATTATTCCTAATAAATAATGGACATGCTTCGATGGACTTCAGGGCCTTAGTCCAGCCACCCATGCAATGCCCGTTAATCCTATCAAAAAAAGAATCTACTTCTTGCAGGCTTTGTAAAGCAAACAAACATTCTTGCCACCATTATCCCTCTAATGCTCCAAACCCTTTTCAGCATGTTTGTTTGGAGAGATTGAACCATGTGATAGGATTCATATACGATGAATAGAATAGTCTGTTGTTTGGCCTAGGAAGCCTAAAAGAAAGTATTGTGTCTTGGGAAGCCTAAAAATGAGTTTTGTTTTTCTTCCCAATAATGGTCAAAATTACTCTATTTTTAAAATAAAAAAAAAATAAAACTGTCATAAATCTTTGGCCAATCAAAATTTAGTATATATTACTTATTATTTTACAACACTAAACATACACGTGGGAACACTGTTAAATAGAGTTTACATAACAAATTCATTCACAACCAAACAGAGTTTCGAATTCAAACATAGTTTCTAAAACAGCAAGCAAACAAAAATGTCGAACACCACTTGAAACTCACATACGGTCAAGGGCACAGTGAAGTGTCTCCTGCCATACCGGATATTAAATGTTAAAGGCTCGATGAAAAAGAAAAAGAAATGAGAATCCGATATAATTTACAAAGAAGAGGACTTACAAGTTCCTTCTCAAGTTTGACTGTATCCTTTTTGTAAGAAGCAAGTGTAGCCTGAAAATGTGCACTGTCCTCCTTGAGCCTTGCAATGTCTTGATGAATGTGTAAAACTTCAGTCAAATTACTAGAGCTGAACGGTTGTAGAATCTGTACAACAAAATATAAAATGAGGAGGATTATAGAGCAGGTGATGGAGTGAGTTTCGAGAGTAATATTCAGCAATGTAAGATCATTTACTAATTAAAATTATGATTCTAAAAGTTCAGACACTTTTACTGATCAAAATAACGGAATCAAGATCCTTACCATTTCCTGTTTTTCCATCCTGAAACCACCAGAAGACAACAAGAAAATTAATCAGAAACAAAAATAAGAACAATTTTCTTCTACCTAACAAAGTTACAAAATCTCTATAAAGGAATGAGCAATTACCTGTAATTATATCAAGCAACTATGAAATCTTATTTGTTTAAACTGAAAACTTTACATGTACCAACCAAACCAACCTTTAAGTCCCATTAAATTGAGTCAGCTACATGAATCTTTATTCTCCACTCGACTCTATCAACGGCCATTTGGTACGTAAAATTATACTTCTCTTTCCTATAATTTGCCTCCTATGTCAATTTGGTTCCTATTATTCTAATTGTATCAGTTTTGACCAGTAATTTTTCATATTGTATCAATTTAGTTCAATTGATAACATTAATTAAGAAATTGGACAAAAATTAAGGGCTAAATGGTCTATTCAAAAGGGAATGGACCATTTTAAATTGGATATCAACCCCTCAATCACTCTGAGAAGAGTGAACTGAGTATTTTGCCCCTTCATTTCAATCAAATTTCTTCATTAATGTTATCAATTGGATTAAACTAAAACTGTGTGAAAAGTGAAAAATTCAAGGGTAAAATTGATGCAATTAGAACTATAAAGAACAAATTGATACAAGAGGCAAACTACAAAGACTACAAGTATAATTCGCCATTCTTTAAAAAATGTAAATCAATAGGGAACAAAACCAAATAAACTAGGTTTTAACTTATGCATACTTATTCTTTGGATCATCTAGATTCATAAATACTGATAAATAAAGAAAGTTACATCAGATTAAGAATTAAGTTGACAATTTGGGTTCATCCCAACGTTTTGCACCAAGAACTTATCATAACATCAAATCCCTGAACTTCAGAAATAATTGAAGTCAGCACTTAGTGTATATCTTTTTGTACCAAATCACAAAACAAACCTACAATAATGTCTCCATTAATATATACATATATATATATAAAAAAAAAAAAAAAACCAAATGAATGCTGGTAAAATGAGAACAACCTTAAGAAGGGTTCTTTTGTAAAGGCAAACATTCTTGCCATGTTCCAAAATTCTCGTGTCTTGGCAAGTCAGTGGCCACGAAAAATCTGTTATAAGTTGAGCTTTACCTTTATAATCTACTGATCTAGGAGTTGTAAAGGTTGAGTCCAGGACAAGGGAATACATTGCAAATAATGCTTCTATAAAAGTAGTTTGCAACTCTGAAGATTCTCAAGCATATGTATTTTGTAGAAGAATGATTTTATTGGAGGGGAAATCTATGATGTGCACCCTCAAAAAACGGGCACATCATAAAAAAGTTACGACTTTTTGTGGTGAAAGTAATGAATGTTTGTGGTGTGTTATGTCAATTTGAGATAAAAATTACTCTAGAAGATATACTTTTTGTGGTGAGCAAAATGTTATACTTTTCGCGATGAGAAAAGTTATGTCATTTTCTAGTTTATGCCACAAAATATGTGGGTTGTTATGAAGGGCATACCATATGCACCCTTTTAGGGATGCACATAGTAGTGTCTACCTTATTGGAGAACACTTCATAATTTGAATAAAATTTATAGGATGTTGTTAAAGATGAAAAATAGGAAGGCGTAGACAAAATTTTGACAATGTAGTACTTCTATTCTATCTGTGTAAATGCACTGGTTTGAAGTATTCTTGCAGCTATAATGCATATGACCTTCAAGCAGAAAACAAATCTCTACACCACTCCAAACACGTGGTTGGAAGTGAATTTTGTTTTCCATTGTAAAGAAGTCAATTTTGACAGTGTTAGAAGGAAACAATAGGTATCTAGTTTTAAATAATTAAGGTTGTTGGGACTCAGGATCAAGAAAGAACAAAGGAAGATTTCATGATAAAATATAGGAAACATCATGTTTTAATTGAAATCAAAATTTCTTTTAAAAAATTTATATGATATGAACGATATGTCATCCAGTTACAAGAAATAATTTTGATGTGTATTACCTGTATGGTTCAAGGCTAGATTCGTGAAGTCTAGACTTAATATCTTCTATAGCATGGAGGAAGTGGTTCATTGTTACTTTGACATCCTTCTGGGCATGCTTAACTAGTCCCCTCTCCCCTGTCTGGACCACAGCATATGAATGTGCACGGGTGACTAGAGATGCAATGGCAGATCCACTACAGCCATCTGTCCTGCAAGCTGTGCAAACAAGCACATACACAATCTCATTACATAAATGATGAATTGATGTTTCCACTTACACAACAATATTGCTCAAACAACTTACCAATTTCTTGAAGATTCACATCTTCATCGAGTACAAAAGCTTGTCTCATGTTCCTTGTGTTGATGTCCAAAATTTGCAAGCGCCCTCGCTCATCTGGGTACTCTAATTTGATATGTAGTTCGATTCTACCTTCCCTACAAGTAAATACAATAAACTAAATTTTTATTTTTTATTGAGTTAGAAAAATGAGAAGTTAATGAGTAGCTATTTTAATATATATATATATATATATATATTTGTTTGGTTACCCATAAAAGATAAATATGTATAAATAACTTCATTTTTCTTTACTTGATAAGTTCAAAATTTGAAAAACATTCGAGTTCAAAAGATGTGGGATATTGTTGAAAAAGAATAAAGAAATCAGCAAAGAACAACACAAGGGAGAGAATGTTACCTCAATAGGGCTTCATCGATGAGCTCCTTTCTATTTGTAGTAGCAATAATAAAAATGTTGTTCAATACTTCCATGCCATCAATCTGAAAGGCGTGCAAATTTCAAGTACTGCCTAGTTAAAGAGAAACAATAAAAAGGAAAAATTGAAAAAAGAAATATGAGAGATATTGACCATTGTTAGTAGTTGGTTTACAAGCCTATCATCCATATGGTGTTGTCCCATAGCTACCCCTCTTTTCTGCAAAAAAAAATCAAAAACATATTTAAGACAAGATTTGCAATATAGATATGGAACCAAAAAACATCATTCTCACTCTCTCTTAATGGTTATGATTACTATTCTCATTGCTGTGTCCTCTGCACTATATTTATGTCGCAAACTTGTCACAAATCACCTTTCTAAGCCACTCAAGTTTGGTATAGAGGGTTCTTCCACCAATTGCCAATCAGTTTTTGGTTGGATGCCTCCAGTATTTTTAACATGGTATTAGAATTGAGTCTTAAGTGATCTATTGTGGGCCAAGTCTCCACCCCAGGCGTCTTTATTTGGGTTTCTCTAATTTCCACTTGCAATTGGACAGCATGTTCAGGAAGTGTTAAAAGTCAGCCTCGTGTTTGAGAAACGTTAGAGACTTGTCCCAAATCGCCTCTCTAAATTACCAAAGCTTGATTCACATTGTCAAGAGGGCCCCTTCACCTATTGCTAATTGATTTTGGGATGGATGCCTCCAATATTCCAAAAAATTTACAAGAAGATTATGCTGAATAAAGAATCTTCAGACTTGCACAAAACTCTTAAAATTCTTTTTTTTTTACCTCCACAAGCGACTGTGCCGCATGTGCAAAAGTGTTCAGGACTTGTCCCACATCACTTCTCTAAGTCACTCAAGGTTGGTTCATATAGTCTATAAGGCCCTTTCACCTATTACCAATCGATTTTGGGTTAAATGCCTCCAATATTATAACAATATACAACAAGATTGTGCTTAATAGAGAATCTTAGGGATTGCACAGAACTCTTTAATTCTTTTTAGTCTAACATTGCTTCATGCTTTATTTTGTTAAGAATCTTTCCTACCTCTTAGTATTAGGAAGGAAATTAAAGTTCTATATGTGGTTGTGTGGGTGATTTGAGGCTACATGAGCTAGTAAAGGAGCTTTCTGGGAAGAATGGCAGATTCTGAGATGGCACTAGGTCATCGGATACTAGCTAATTGAAAGCAAAGATAGCCTTGGGAAAAGAAAGAGTGAGGGAGTTGTTATAGAGGTCTAACCAAAACTATAAGCAAGAGATGGAGATGGTTAGATCATTTTTATGCATAGAGGTGGAGGCTATATTTATAGAAGGATTGGGCTATATTGGCCAACTCACCTAGTGGCTGGAATGGCGGTCACACTTGCTCGGATATGAAGCAATCACTTGTCTTTATCATGTTCTAGAGTTGTCTTCATGTTGAGATCTCTGTAAGGTCAGTCAAGTGCAGATCCCTCCAACGAGAATAGGATGCAGCATCTTCACAAATCTTCAATTCCAATAAACCAAGTCCAAAATCCCTAACAAGCTCACGCGAGAGTCGTGAGGTCACTTGGGTGGCACCAAACCCAAAGGTATCCTTAGGTTCTTCTATCGATCTAGACTGCCATGAGTGTATTAGGGTGATGGGAAAACAAGTGTAAATCATATTAAGAGATGTATGTTTAGATAAAAACTTGGCTTGCCCAAGGGGGGCCAAATGGATATGAGCATGCCAACGTGAAGAGCCCTTAATCTTGGAAGGAAGGCCAAGTGCACCTACAAGGCTCCTTGAAGATAGCCTCCTTCAATTTTAATATGAGAGATGCCACACCGTGCGGTATGCAGAGGTTTTGGGATAAAGGGATCATATACTCGATACAACTGTCTTGGAGAAGTTATTAAGTACATGCAGATGTGATGATCACCTAAGGTCAGTCAAATGCTTCCTATATGACAATTTACTTTTTATGTGCAAAACAATTGAGCGCCTATTATTTAGGAACTACATTCTAAAAAAATGGTTTCTGGATGACCATTACCTTTGGGGTTGGATAAGATACACTGCCCCTCTTACCCATTATTTTCTAAATTGAAGACTTTTAATCATGAGCAACCTTTTTCATATAGAATAGCATTTCTATGTTAACTGTTCACACCGATTAAAGCATAGGTTTTGTTTAAACTAATAAAAAATTTAGAAGTAGATAACAAGGTGAATTGCAAATAATAGGGCATAGAAAATAATGTTAATTAATCTGGATTACACACTCAACGCTGTATACTCAATCTTTCCCCTCCCAAACACATATTAATGTGTACTAATTGGGTGTTGTTAATCTAGATTACACACTCAATGGTGAATGCTAGTCTAGAAAAGCATATTGATGTAGAAGCATGAAACTCAAGCCTTGTGTCTTATCTTATTCTCAATGTTTCAAAAGATGAGTTCCAAACTTACAGTACAATTACTAGGTCTCTAGAGTACAGATCACTACTACCAAGAAGGAATAAAAAATAAAAAGGCATCCCACAAGCAACAAATTGGCCAGGTTATGAAATGGGAATGGAATGGAGGAGTAGAACATATAATACATGCAAATACAAGGAAACCAAAATGATGTAAAACCTTAATAGGGAACAAAGACTTGAATTATGTAGAAAACCTAAATCTGGTATTGTGAAATTCACATATGTACAAAACAAATTGCAGGTTGCACAACTAACAGCACTCAGAAGGAGCAAATGTTGTACATGTGCTCACCTTAGCAATCACAAGGTTCTGTATGGTGTATAGAGGTGATACAAACAAGCTAGGTTAGCTCAAAAGATGACTTGCAATGGAAAAATAAGGAGACAAGAGCTCTTAATGTGTATATATCACTTCTAGAATTTTGTTCAACCCTCAAAAAAATCCCAGAGCTTTGGTTTTATAGAATTCGAGCTCAAAAGGTGATAAATAAAAAATTCAGAAGGCATAAGCATAACACATTAAGAAATATATGAATTTATTGGACACACTACAAGAATTTTCACTTTTGGCGACTAAATTTTTAGTTGCCAAAAGTCATTTTCAGTCGCCAAAAGTCATTTTTAGTCGCCTATAGTCTTTAGCGACTAAATTTTTTGGTCGGAAAATTAGTAGCCGAAGAGTAGTCGGCAAAGCTAATTGGCGATTAAACTTCATTTAGTCGCCAAATGTATTCATTTGCCGACTAAATTTTTAGTCGCCAATAGGTTGGAAAATTAATTAAATAATACATTTTTGCCGACCAATTTTTTTGTCGCCAAAAGCCAATAATTTAGTCGCGGAAAAATTTTTAGCTACTAAATTTTTTAGTTGCCTAAAGCAAATATTAGTGTTTTGGCTACTAAAATTTTAGTCGGCAAATAGTATTTCTTTTGTCTACTAAAAATTTAGTCGCCTAAACTCCCACATTTTTGGCTACTAAATTTTTAGTTGGCAAAAAGTTTTTTTATTCTTCAGCTTTTGTTTTTAGCTACGAAATATTTTAGTAGCCAAATGCTTGAATTTTTTTTGGATACAAAACTTTTGGTCGCCAAATGTTTGATTTTCTTTTGGCTACAAAGCTTTTAGTCGCCAAATATTTGATTTTTTTTTTTTTGCTACAAAACTTTTAGTCGGCCAAACTATTTTCCCAATTTCTTTTTAGCTACTAATTATTGAGTCGCCAAAAACATGATCTTATGTTTTGTCACAAAATTATAATTTCTCCACAATCAGTCTATATTCCATACAACCTGTAATACATATGTAAACAAAATAATTCGTATACTATCAATCATTCCACAATCTGCATCCGTATACAAAAAATGAATAACTTTAAATGTCAAAGTCCATACAAACCAACTATTGTCCAAGCTAAAATAATAATTCCATACAAAATATAGAATCATACAAAAATCAAAGCCCTCCGTATACAAAAAATACTTTCACAAAAGTAGAGGAAGCCCTAGTTAGCAGGATTATACAAAAGTGTCAAGTGTCCTCCATAAACAAAAATGTAGACTATCCACAAGTCCACGCCAAAAGCCATCTACAAAAAATAAAAAAACAATTGCATCTATTACAATATATCAATTCATTCAAACGTAGGAAAAATGTTGTAATAACATGCATTTAAGTAGAACAATCTTGTACGGGGAGGAAATAATTCTCCTCGTATAATCCTGTTGACCAAATCCACGCTCCTCCGTACGACGTCGCTTTGTCACCTGAAAACACAAACGTGAGCTAGCCGGCGGGTGTGTACCGGAAACCTCTCCGATGCCTAAGTCAGAAAACTTGACAAATAGACAAAGCTCTAATGTTCCCAGAAAGATTGTGTTCAATTACCTCCTCCAAGGTGATGTTTGTGAGCTTTTATAAGTTTCATATGGCACAATCCTAGTAGGACTTGTATTTCTCCATGCAGAGTCCTCCTAGGATTCATTCTCCTAAGGATAATGCTTATCCTTTTACACCCTCCCCCACTGCTTAAACCAAGTGGGATGGTTTTCTCCATGGCCGAACTTCCATGTGACCGAAGTAAAATTGGCTATACCGAGCCACAGAGGGCCGAACTTTCCTTAGCTCGGTCTTCTCCTCTAACTCCTTACTTCGGCTGCCACTGTTCAACCTTGGTGTGCTTAGATCAAACTTCCACAGTATGTCACGACCGGACTAATTCCGAAACCGGCCTTCCCAGAACATATTGCGACCGGACTAATTCTGAGGCCGGCCTAACTCCAAGTTGCCACCGGACCGGAGTAGCTTTACTCTTCCTTGGGCCGAAATAACTATTTCTTCTTGAGCCGGAGTAATCTCACCTCCTTGGGCCGAAGTAATTTTGCCCCTAAGCCGGAGTATCCATTACGGCCTTTTTTACTTAGTCCTTTGCATTTTGGGCCTCAAAGCCCAACTCGAAGCTCGGCCCAATTTTTCCCAAAAATTACCCTCTCAAATCTATAAAAACATTTTTTCGAAATGCAATCATATGTATGTATCACGAAAGATTTATTTCAAACTTGATTTCAATTTACAAATAATACAATTTTTAGGAGCATACCTCTTCATAAAATAAATTTTTATGAGTAGAATGTTTTGGTGGTAAATTTATTTTAACTCTTCTTCATTCTCATTTTTCTAATCAAAGTAAAATGATTGAGTAATCTACGGGGTTATCTCCATAACCATATCACGCTTTCTTCATACGTTTACCACCCAAATGACCACCGTGTACGATGAAACAATGGCATCATTTACAATAAAAATGTTGAATATTTATTGGATGTCAAACTCTCCCTTTTTTGAATAAGTTTAAGTCGTTTCCGTCTGTTGTCACAAGTCCTATATGTCACGGGAAAGCTGGCCGTGACATCCCTACGGTGATTCCGGGGCTATTTCGCTTTTTCACTCCCTTAACGCCTTTTTTCGATTAAGCTTAAGGCGTTTTTGGCTCTAACTCCCAACCTACACGTGCTAATTATATTCCATATGTTGTCACAGGTCCTATTTGTCACGGTGAAGGTGGCCGTGACATCTGCACGGTGGTTTGGGGTTGATTCGCATTTTCGCCCCCTTAACGCTCTTTTTCGGTTAAGTTTAAGGTGTTTTCGGCTCTAACTCCCAACCTAAACGTGCTAATTATATTCTGTCTACTATCGCAGGTCCTATTTTCCACGAGGAAGGTGGCTGTGATATCTGTATGCTAGTTCAGAAGCTGTTTCTCATTTTTGCCCCCTTAGCGCCCTTTTTCGGTTAAGTTTAAGGCGTTTTTGGCTCTAACTCCCAACCTACACGTGCTAATTACATTCCATCTATTGTCGCAGGTCCTATTTGTCACAGGGAAGGTGGTCGTGATATCTGTATGGTGGTTCGGGGGTTGATTCGCATTTTCGCCCTCTTAACGCCCTCTTTCAGTTAAGTTTAAGGTGTTTTCAGCCCTAACTCCCAATCTAAATATGCTAATTACATTTTGTCTGTTGTCACAGGTCCTATTTGTCATGGGGAAGGTAGCCGTGACATCCCTACGGTGGTTTGGAAGCTGTTTTGCATTTTTGCCCCCTTAACGCCCCATTTCGGTTAAGCTTAAGGCATTTTTGGCTCTAACTCCCAACCTACACATGCTAATTACATTTTGTCTATTGTCACAGGTCTTATTTGTCATGGGAAAGGTGGCCGTGACATCCGTACGGTGGTTCAGGAGCAGATTCGTATTTTCACTCCCTTAACGCCATTTTTCAGTTAAGTTTAAGGAATTTTCGGCTCTAACTCCCAACCTAAATGTGCTAATTACATGTCGTCTACTGTGATAGGTCGTATTTACCACGGGGTAGGTGGCCATGACATCTGTATGCTGGTTCGCAATCTGTTTCGTATTTTCGCCTCCTTAACGCCCTTTTTCGATTAAGTTCAAGGCGTTTTTGGCTCTAACTTCCAACCTAAACGTGCTAATTACATTCCATCTATTGTCACAGGTCCTATTTGCCACGGGAAAGGTGGCCGTGACATCTGTATGCTGGTTCGGAAGCTGTTTCACATTTTCGCCCTCATAACGCCATTTTTTGATTAAGTTTAATGCGTTTTCGGCTCTAACTTCCAAACTATGTGT